GGCAGCAGAGGGGTCCAGCATCTGAGGGGCTGGAGGAGGAGGAGGAGGCTTGAAGTTGGGTGGTTCATCTGGGAAGGAGGAGAGATCATCCTGCCAAAGCAAGAACAGAGGCCTTGAGGACACCAGGCTCAGCTGTCAGAACTTCCCCAGGATCAGTCCCTCACGTCTGCCTCTCAGTGACCATGGCAAAATGAGCTGGTCCTCATAGAAATGCCTTCCTGACCCTACTGGCAGCAGGAACGTGACTCACAAACGAGGACAAACTCCCCAGCTTTTGCTCTGGTTCCCACAGTTGCTGCTCTTATTCACCCAGCCAGAATCCTTCCTCCCTGCTGGTCTGATGAACCAGCTGCAGTGGCATCCATGGGCAGGGAACGTGGCAACGAGCTACAGAAGCTGAGGCAAAACTCAGTCTCACTCATTTGCCTCCAGCTCCAACCCGAGGTGCAGCAGCAGGGTGCAATGCCTTACCAGGGAGATGTCTGGCAGGGTGTTGATGCTGCTTTGGTTGCTGTCTCCACCTCCCTCCAATTCTGACGTGTTCTGGGAGGGCAAAGAAGAGAAAACCAGGTCACAGCAGCAAGGAGCAACCACCACAGTGGAACATGACAAGGAACATGCAGAGCGATGCAGGGCATTGCACAACCCCCCCCTACACTGGCCAGTCTTTCACCCAAACCTCTAGGGAGGTTCCCTAGAGACTCACAGATGTGGCCAAAGGGACTTGGTTGGGAAACTGACCCTCCCAAGCTAAGAAGTGTGCTCAAAACATGCTCTGATCCTGAGCAACCAGGGCTATTTCCTCTGCAGGGGAGGAGCATGCTGCTCTTAACCTAAATCTCAACTTAATTTGGAAGGAAGGGAGAAAGGAACCAGCTCTGAAGGAGACAGGTTCAACATCTGGATCTTTACCAGGAGAAGGGCGATGAAAAAATGTAAAACTAATCTCCCTTGCAAAGCAGAGCAGACCCAGGTGCAAACAGAAGCCAGTGCCTCCCTTTTTAAATAAAAACGTCATTAAAAAAATGTCACTACACAGCTCTGACCACATCACAGCTCCAGAAACCAGGAAGAGCTTCAGGAACTTTTCTGCAGAGGGGCAGCTGTCAGCCAGGATGGACCCAAGGAGAGGAGTTTGGATACAGTTCAGCAGAGCAAACAGGCACCCTGGCTAAGTGGCAGGACAGGGTTGAGTGGAGGCTGAACCCTGAGCCTGGCCCAGATGTTAGCTTTGCCCCAGGCAGGCACCAGGTCCAGACTTGGGGGTGCAGAACCTCAGCTCTGCCTGGCTCCCCTGCAAAGCAAACTCAGGCTCAGCACCCCCACCCCACAGCAACTCTGGCCTGGAGAGGTGCCCGTGCTGCTGCTCAGGAAGGGTGCACTTCATTTCCCTCACATCCATGGGGATGTTTGTGCTGGAATGGGCAGGGTACAGTTTGTGTTTAACTGAGTGTTATTTATTGCAGGGTAAACAACTGATTAGCAGAAATGCTGGTGCATCTGCATCTCCCCCACCCCCATCTGCTGGAGGCTGCTGCTGCTGTGCCTGTAAGATGTGAGCATCCCAAAATAGACACGGGAGACAATTAAGAGCATTAGAGAAGCAGAAAAAGCATTGATGGAAAGTGCTTTTTTATCTGTGTGGCTCCAGAAGGGAGCCTGGAGAATCTGAGCTAAAAGAAGTGGCTTGTTGAGAGGGACAGGGAAAGCATCAGCCTGGGAAAACACTCCTTCCTCTGAGCAGGCTTGATTCAATCATCAATTAATCCAACATAAAGGCAGGTGGATTTTGAAACAGAATCAACCCCTACACCCATGACTGTGTGGCTGAAACACGTGGCAGCAGCCACAGAGAGAACAGGGCTCAGGCAGAGCCCCAGGACTGCCCAGGTACCCCAGGACTGCCCAGGTGTCCCAGGACTGCCCAGGTGTCCCAGGACTGCCCAGGTGCCCCAGGATTGCCCAGGTGTCCCAGGACTGCCCAGGTACCCCAGGACTGCCCAGGTGCCCCAGGATTGCCCAGGTGTCCCAGGACTGCCCAGGTACCCCAGGACTGCCCAGGTGTCCCAGGACTGCCCAGGTGCAGGCACTGGCACCAGGGATGAGGAGACTCCCCCTGAGTGAGGCTGGAGGAAGAGCAGGTGGAGCTATTTCAAAAGCCACCTGCCTTCACATGGATTCAAATGGCCATGAGCTGCTCTGGGCTGTGCATTCATTAGCAATAGGGATTCAGGTTTGATTGAAGTGCCAAGGAGTTTAAAATCTTGGGTGCTACCACGTCCCAGAGTGATGCCCAGGAGCAGAGAGGCTGGGCAAGCTGCACCAAGCCACACAGCAGCTCCTCCAAGGAGCAAGGTGCTCTGCAGGAAGCTGCCCAAGGGTCACCCTCCCCCTGCACCAACCCCCCTCCAGGGGCTGCCAGAACTTTTCATCCAGCCAAATGACTGTGCACAGAAGGGAAGGAACCAAGGTGAGATGGTGGCAATTCAGCACCAGCCTGGCAGCCTCTGGGAGGATCTCAGCCTTGTCCCCAGACCTTCCCTCTCCAGCCCTGCCCTTCCCAGCATCAACCTGTCTCCAGCTCCTCCCTGAGCTGCTGGCAAACACTGAGGATCAGACCCCCTGTGACATAACCAGGAGCAGCCACCAAACAGTCACAGTTACATTGCTATTAAAAAAGAAAAGCCCACCTGATGCCCCTGTAAAATCTGCCAGTGCCACCCCCCAAAGTCCTGCCCATCACCTGGGCCCACCCCATGTGCCCTGTCCCAGCCCCATAGATAGGACCAGGCTGCACCCAGAGGTGATTCCTCCTGGCCAAGGGAGGGTGGGCACAGCCCCCTGCCCTGAACCCCCCCACCCCACCTCTGCTCTCCCAGGGACTGACACTGCTCATCTTCTTCAGAGCTGAGATATGTGAGCAGGGGATTTGTCTTTGTCCCCAGACTCACTACTTTGGGGGCAAAAGCAATTAAACAGAAATTGCTCTGGACTATAAAATGTAATGGCCTTTAAAGCTGAGAGCATTTGCTTTCAGGAATTGGCTATTTTAAGACTGTGCTTTCCTGGATTTCCCTTAAAAGGCCCATCAAAGCCAAGTGCCACTGCTCTGAAAAATGAGCATTTTTGAGGAGGCTGCTCCCTCCTACAGACTCTCTGCTCCTTTCCCCCATCTATTTTCTGGTTACTTATGGAAACTGGAGGCCAGGGGAGGCCCTTCCAGCCCCTCTGCAGGATGCAGCAGGAAAACTTGTGTATTTCTTATCTGGCCTGGGGTGCACAGCAGGAGGGATGAGCTGGAGAGCATCTTTCAGACAGGCAGCCAGTTTCCATTTGCAAATTAAGTGGTGGAGAAACTGCCACCTCCCTGGGGAATACAACCCAACCTTTAATTAACCTCCCAGCTCCAAATGAGTCCCTTATTTCCCAGTTACTGCTAACAAGAGCTGTGCAGAGCTCCTCAGCCTGATTCCTGCAGGGTTTAAATTCTGCCAGTCTGAGAACCAGCCCAGATTTCTTCCTCTCTCCCCATTCCCTCTCCCACCTCAGGATGCACCCACAGGGCTGGAGGAGCCCCAGAGCCCCTGGCCCTGCCTGAGCACAGACCTCTCTGACTTGGGGGGCAGTGACACCCATGTGGTTGCTTCACTGTCTGTCCTCATGGCCTAAGAGGATCATGCCAAGCCCATGGAAGCCCTGCAGATGGGATGTCTGTGCCTGTCCTGGAGGGGGTCAGAGGACAGCTGGGAGGTGCAGAAGCTCTGTATCAGGGGACATAGGTGAGGAAGATGCCCCCTCTGTCTCTGCTCTCCCTCTGGGGACACAGAGATCATCTGCCAGCTGGCCAAGGAGCTGCAGGCTCTTGTGCTTCAGATTCACCTTCCAGAAGAGGGGAACAGCTCAGTGTCATCATCCTCTCCTTACTGACACTTCTTGTGAAATGGACACCAAAGACAGACAGGGGCTGGCAATTCAACTGGGTTACTGCACTGGGCCCTGTCCTGCAGCTTCAGGGAACTGGGAGCAAATCATTGCCCGTGGAATCAGACCCTGGGAAGAGAAGGCACCTTTGGACAGCAGCATCTCTGCCAGGAGGCAGTCCAGAAGAAAAACAGAGTCAAGAGGGATTTCAATCCCTTACTCCTAACCATGAGGGCTGGGGCAGGAGGCAGGGGCAAGGGAAATGCCAGGCTGCCCTGCTTGTAGGCAATCAGGAATTCAAAGTCCTCTGACCAGACAAGTTGCCTCTGATTACTGCAGTCTGCAACTGACCTCTGCTTTGCAGGACTCATCTGGAGAGCCAAGATTGACAAGAAGTGACAGTGACACTTGGGCAGACACAAATCATCTGTGGGTGACACCACCAAACAGCTTTGTCTCACCTCAGCACCCTCCAAGCATCCCACAGTGGAATTGCTTTTCACATGGCAGGTCCTGATCAGCCTCGTCCTGATTTTGATTTTCTGGTGTGACTTCACCCACTGACCCATAGGGAGCTGATGGGACAGGGGGGACCTGCTCTGGTGTCACTGCCTTGGGTCCTGAAGCCAAGGAAATCTGTGTTCCAGGGCTCAGGGTGCCTGTGACCAACTCAATCTGGGAGCACCACAGCTGCCCTCTGCTAGATAAGTGGCATTCCCAGAGGGATGTGGCTTTTGGGGCAGCTTCACAGCTAGCAGAGCTCCCTGAAGCTCTTCTCAGCCTCCTCCTGCCCAAGAGCTCTGACAGGGATTTCTGTGGGACTTCTCCCTACATCCAGCCTCTCTGAAGCCCACGTGAGGATTCCTCCCTGGCTGAACATGCCCAAGCACAACAACCCCCTTGATTTTTGCATGCCCCTAAGGAAAATCCTCCCCCACCCCTGAGGGTGTGTGATGGGATGTGAGCAGCCTGGGTGCTGTTCAGCCAGGGTGCCCCTGCAGCAGGACAGGACAGCACAGCAGCAGGTAGAGCAGGCACCAGCTCTGCTGGTCCTTCTAAAACCCCAGCCCTGAGCTCTCAGGGGGCTTTATTGCATGCAGGACACTGGTACCAGCTGGGTTTGGCTCCAGGTCCCCAAGCCCTGCTCAGCAGCCCCCAGCCCTGCAGCCGTGGGGAAAAAGGGACTCTGGAATAACTAAGCCCAGGAAGAACAGGCAGAGTGAAAGGAGGTGGCTGCTGGTGGGGCTGGAGCACATGCTGGCCCAGGACAGCCCCGTACCCACCTCCCACCCCACCTAGACCCCACGTCCACAGGCACACCCAGCCCCTCTCCTGTGGCCACCACAGCCCCCCAGCCCCCAGCCCCTACCTCCATCAGGTCTATCAGCCACAGGAGCCTCTCCTGGGGGCATGCCCTCTCCTTACTGACACTTCTTGTGAAATGGACACCAAAGACAGACAGGGGCTGGCAATTCAACTGGGTTACTGCACTGGGCCCTGTCCTGCAGCTTCAGGGAACTGGGAGCAAATCATTGCCCGTGGAATCAGACCCTGGGAAGAGAAGGCACCTTTGGACAGCAGCATCTCTGCCAGGAGGCAGTCCAGAAGAAAAACAGAGTCAAGAGGGATTTCAATCCCTTACTCCTAACCATGAGGGCTGGGGCAGGAGGCAGGGGCAAGGGAAATGCCAGGCTGCCCTGCTTGTAGGCAATCAGGAATTCAAAGTCCTCTGACCAGACAAGTTGCCTCTGATTACTGCAGTCTGCAACTGACCTCTGCTTTGCAGGACTCATCTGGAGAGCCAAGATTGACAAGAAGTGACAGTGACACTTGGGCAGACACAAATCATCTGTGGGTGACACCACCAAACAGCTTTGTCTCACCTCAGCACCCTCCAAGCATCCCACAGTGGAATTGCTTTTCACATGGCAGGTCCTGATCAGCCTCGTCCTGATTTTGATTTTCTGGTGTGACTTCACCCACTGACCCATAGGGAGCTGATGGGACAGGGGGGACCTGCTCTGGTGTCACTGCCTTGGGTCCTGAAGCCAAGGAAATCTGTGTTCCAGGGCTCAGGGTGCCTGTGACCAACTCAATCTGGGAGCACCACAGCTGCCCTCTGCTAGATAAGTGGCATTCCCAGAGGGATGTGGCTTTTGGGGCAGCTTCACAGCTAGCAGAGCTCCCTGAAGCTCTTCTCAGCCTCCTCCTGCCCAAGAGCTCTGACAGGGATTTCTGTGGGACTTCTCCCTACATCCAGCCTCTCTGAAGCCCACGTGAGGATTCCTCCCAGGCTGAACATGCCCAAGCACAACAACCCCCTTGATTTTTGCATGCCCCTAAGGAAAATCCTCCCCCACCCCTGAGGGTGTGTGATGGGATGTGAGCAGCCTGGGTGCTGTTCAGCCAGGGTGCCCCTGCAGCAGGACAGGACAGCACAGCAGCAGGTAGAGCAGGCACCAGCTCTGCTGGTCCTTCTAAAACCCCAGCCCTGAGCTCTCAGGGGGCTTTAGTGCATGCAGGACACTGGTACCAGCTGGGTTTGGCTCCAGGTCCCCAAGCCCTGCTCAGCAGCCCCCAGCCCTGCAGCCGTGGGGAAAAAGGGACTCTGGAATAACTAAGCCCAGGAAGAACAGGCAGAGTGAAAGGAGGTGGCTGCTCGTGGGGCTGGAGCACATGCTGGCCCTGGACAGCCCCGTACCCACCTCCCACCCCACCTAGACCCCACGCCCACAGGCACACCCAGCCCCTCTCCTGTGGCCACCACAGCCCCCCAGCCCCCAGCCCCTACCTCCATCAGGTCTATCAGCCACAGGAGCCTCTCCTGGGGACATGCCAGGGGAAAAGCCAGTTTCAAACAAGCACAAGAGCAAAAAAAACAAACCATCAGGGAGGCTGCAAGAACAGATGAGCCAGACAAGCAAATCCCAGCACAACACATCCCTCCTCCCCCCAGGCCCACCCAGCAGAACCCAGACCCAGATGCCCCAGGGCTGAAGGTGAAAGCTGAGAGAGGGGCTGGGGAGGGCAACAGCAGCAGGGGCTCAGGGCACAGCAGGGCAGGGGGAATGGTTTGGGAGCTCTGCCCCCTTCTCTCCTGCTGGCTGAGATAAGCACCCATCCACCAGGAGCAGTTGTTTTAGCAAAGAGTGGTGGCAACCAGCTCGAGGATCAACCTTCCCACCACCACTCAGAGGGGTGTATGTTCTCACACCCCATGGAAAGAGGTGCTGGGGAAGACCTGTAGTGTGACACGTGTCCTTGGGCACAGTGGTGCCCACTCTCTATGCCAGGCCAGCACCTTGGGCTTCCTCCCCAGCCTGGTGTGCCAGGTGCTGGGAATGGGGTGTCAGGCAGCAGGAGGGAGAGCACTGTGCACCTGAAGCAAGTGGTTCCAGCCCCAGGCAGGGGGACAGCACAGGAACAGGGTGTGACACACAGTGCACAGGTCCTGGCAGACCCGTGTCACCCCTCTGACATTTCAGCAACACTTTCCCAACAGGCTGTTGGAGAGAGGTACAAAACTGGCTCTGCTGATCCTGCCCCAGAAAGGATCACACCATAACCCACCCCAAACAGCACAGGCACCTTTTCCTGTGGCTGTTCCTGAAATCAATGGGGCAAAAATCACTGAGTTCTGATGCTCTGCAGCTCTGCCAGGCCCCTGGGGAGCCTGGAGCAAACAGTGCAGGAAGGCTCAGCCCCAGGAAAGCCCCCCCCTCCCTCTTCACCTTGGCTGTGTTGCCTGGACCCCCTGCAACACAACCCACTCCCCCCAACCCTGGGCTGCTTTCCTTGCTGCCCAACTAGCAGCCAAAGCCCGTTGTCATCTGATTCTCATGAAGGTTTGAGTCTCCAAGGTCGTGAATGCATTTTCCGGGTAGGGAATTAATTTGTGTGGCTGCAGGACCTGAGGTGATGGTGGCAGCTCAGTGAGCTGGTGTGTGCAAGGGGGGCCTGGCAGAGAGAGGTGGGGCTGGTGCTGCTGCCTGGTGGGGAGTGGGCAGGGGCTGGGACAGGGTGCAGCTGGCCTGGCTGCTGCTGCCCCCACAGCCAGGGTCTTCCAAGAAGGTGATGTAGAAGTGACAGGCACGGTGTGGCAGTGCCAAGCTGCTGAGGTTTCTGTCTGGGTGCAGCTCACCCTGCAGAGTGGAGCCCTGGGGACAAAGAGGGCAGGGGCACCTTGGTCTGAGGGGCACAGAGACGCCAAGCATGAGTCACAGCTTCACCTGATTGCACCTGCAGAGCACAGCACTGCACCCAGCCTGCAGGGAGACTGGGAGCTTTGGGGGGGTCTCTCGGGGAAGCAGACTGAGCAGGGCTTCCCAGAGGGTGAAATGGGAAAAGGGTGGAAGAAGGGAGATTGAGGTGAGACATGAGGAGGAAATTCTTTGGTGTGAGGGTGGTGAGAGCCTGGCCCAGGTTGCCCAGGGAAGCTGTGGCTGCCCCATCCCTGGCAGTGTTGAAGGGCAGGTTGGATGGGGCTTGGAGCAGCCTGGGCTGGTGGGAGGTGTCCCTGCCCATGCAGGGGGTCGGGAATAGATAGTCCCCTTCCATCCCAAACCACTCCATGATTCTATGAAGTGCCTTGATAGCTCTTCAGGGCAGCGAGTTGTTCTGCAGGGCTGCCAGGAGCAGGTGCTGAAGGATAAAGGGAGAGGCAGGAGGGACCTACCCGGGCTGAGCTGACGGTGGTGGCAGTGAAGTGGCTGCTGGAGGAAGAGACGGTGTCACTGTAGGACATCATGGAGTAGGAGTCAGCAGGCAGGGCCCCCGAGGGCTGCCGTGCCTTCATGGACTCGATCTCCCTCTTCAGCACCAGGTTGTCGAAGCGGTCGAGGTCCTGGGGGGAGATCACACCCCGCACCTCTGCGAGCAGGGAGAACTGGGCCAGGCAGACAGACAACCAGAGAGAAGTTGGAGCACGTCCATACTCCTGGGGAGGTGAAGACCCCCTCCTCCCACACCGCCCAGCAGTGGCCATGAGATGTTCTGGGAGATAATGCACGACCCTCACCTTTGCCAGGTGCTGCACACCTGTACCCCTCACAACACCCTGCATCTGGGGTTTGCTTTCACACCCTCACACCCTCCAGCCCGAGCAGACAACCTTGGAGGCTCTGAGCCACATCCATGACCATGGCTCTTCTCAGCCCACCAGCCACAAGGAAGTGCCCCCGTGGGCCTCACCTTAGCGTGTGTGTTGAGCAGCTCGAAGAGGGCCATGACCAGAGCATCCACGGAGATGTTGCCCTCCTTGTACTCGTCAAGGTAGTAGCCCATGGTGGCCCGTTCCTGCTCGTTCAGCAGGTGCCTGGCCTGCTCCTCCAGCATGACCCGGGTCTGGTTCACCATGCTGCTCAGGGTGACCTGGGAGCCAGCCAGGCCCCGGTAAAACACGGGCTGCAGAAGGAGACAGGAGACAGCCTTTGGGCTGGGATGCCAAGGAACCAGCTGCTGGAAGGAGGACAGCTGGGCAGGACCCAGAACTGTCCCCCGGCCATGGGCTCTGCCCCAGCTCCCCACGTGTCAGACCCCTGCTCTCACCCAGCTGCCTCCTGGGAAGCTGGGCTGGAAGGGGGATGCTGAGATCCTGGAGGCTGGTACCCTCAAGGGTTCATCAGCACGGCCACTCAGGGTGTCACTGCTTGTCTGGGCAACTCCAGAGCCACGGGATCAAGCAGTACCAGTTGACTTCCCAAAACAGCTTCCCAGCTCTGCTCAGCAGGCAGGGACACTGTCCCCTGGCCAGCCCCTGCTTCACTAGCAGGCTGCTCTCCTTCCAGGCAGGGCTGGAGGAGCTGGGCCCACAAGAAGCAGGGAACCTTTCATCTGGTACAAAGGTCTGCAAGCTCAAAGCAGACTCTGGTGAAGAAGGAACCACTGGCAACCAAAGGAGTCCCAGAGAGAAACATGTCAGGCTGCAGACAAAGGACTTTTTGCTTCAGGAGACATTTCCAAGGGGAGATCCTTGCTGCCTCCCTCCCTGGCAGTGCTGACACAGTTAGTGCAGGGACATGGAGCCAGACAAGACCCTGACTGTCCCAGGGACACCGAAGGGTTGAGGCTGGGGAGCATGTTTTGCCAGCAACCAGTGCCAAGCCATGACCAGGGAGGGCTACCTGGGAAACCTTGCTGCTCCATTTCCAGAGCTCTGCTCTGGGGTGGGAAAGATCCCAGGAGCTGTCAGACCCCATATGGAGACATCATGGTCACCTCTGCAGGGTGGAGGGGTCCCCATGGTCCTTGCTTATTTTATGATCACTTCCCCTTGCCCATGAAGGTGCTGGTTTCAGGCTGGGAGGCACCAGATGTGCTGCAGACCTGACCTGCCAGTGGCTCAGAATGGGGGGCAACCATCATATCAGTGTTTGTAGAAACACACCACGAGGTGGGGAGGAGAAAGGCTGGAGCCAGTTAAAACCCACCAGCATCCCTTTCATCAGCAGGAGCACAAAGCCCTCCCTCCCATGGAGAACAGGAGCCAACAGGGGTGAGTTTTTTACGAGGCACCAGGAAGGCCTGACATCTCTTACCCTGGCTGTCACCTCTGCAGCACGGTTGCCCACTGCCCTGTGAGGAGGGAGAAGATCAGTTAGCACCAAGCACCACATGCCCACCACCCAGCACCTGGGCCCTGGTAGGAGACCTGTCAGGAACATTCCTCTCTGTGCCTGCAAGCTGAAAGCTTCTGGCCTGAGAGCACAGGGCAGGGGCAGCAGCAAGTTGTCCAGACCTGTTGCACCACCAGAGACCCAAGATGTTGCCTTTTAAGCACTGGATGTGGGGACCACACACCCGAGCACTGGGGGTGCTCCCATGCACAGGTTGTCCCTGCAGAGTGCAGAGCATCAGGCTGCCACCATAGAATCATGGAGCTGTTCAGGTTGGAAAAGCCCCTTGGGATCACTGAGTCCAACCATCATCCCTACTCTACAAAGCTCTCCCCTAAACCACATCCACCAACACCACATCCAAACAACCCTTCAACACACCCAGGGATGGTGACTCCACCACCTCCCTGGGCAGCCTGTTCCAGTCTCTGACCACTCTTGCTGTGAAAATTGTTCCCAATGTCCAGTCTGACCCTGCCCTGGTGCAGCTTGAAGCCCTTCCCTCTTGTTCTGTCACTAATTACCTGTGAGAAGAGACCAGCGCCAACTCTCTACAATGACCTTTCAGGTGGTTGTAGAGACTGATGAGGTCGCCCCTCAGACTCCTCTTCCCCACACTAAACATTCCCAGCTACTTCAAGGGTTCTTCATCAGATTGATTCTCCAGGCCCGTCCCCAGCTCCGTTGCCTCCTCTGTCCTGGCTCCAGCACCTCAAGATCTCTCTGGAATTGAGGTGCCTAGAACTGGACACAACACCCCAGGTGTGGCCTCCCCAGTGCTGAGCACAAGGGGACAATCCCCTCTCTGCCTCTGCTGGTCACACTCTCTCTAATACAACCCAGGATGCCCGGGGCTTTCTTGGCCACCTGGGCACACTCACAGAATCACAGAATGTTTGGAGTTGGAAAGGAACTTCAAGATCATCCAGTCCCAACCCCCTGCATGGGCAGGGACACCTCCCACCAGCCCAGGCTGCTCCAAGCCCCATCCAACCTGCCCTTCAACACTGCCAGGGATGGGGCAGCCACAGCTTCCCTGGGCACCCTGGGCCAGGCTCTCACCGCCCTCACACTGAATTTCTGCCCGATCTCTAACCTAAATCTCTCTTCTTTCAGTTTAAAACCAGACCCCTGGTCCTCTCACTGCAAGCTCCTGTAAAAACCCCCTCCCCAGCTTTCCTGCTGGCTCCTGTTCAGCTGCTGCCCAGTGAGAACCCCCAGGTCCTTCTCTCCCGGACAACTTCACCCTGGGTGCCCGCGCGAGCTCGGAGGAGCTGCCCTGGGGTGACAGATCCCCCCCAGCCAGCTGGCCAGGGCTGCCCCGAGCACGTTTACCCTGCGCAGCTGACGAGGGTGTCCCCGACCTGGGAGCTTGCAATCCACCTGGTCTCGTCCACCGTGGTGCGGGCGTGGGGCAGCCTCCCGATGTCCTTCACCGTCATCATCAGGTGCCGGGAGGACTTGAGCAGCTTCACCGCCTCGTCGTGGGGGG